TCAAATATTTCTATTTTCCTTGTTTTCTTTCTTTTCTTATACAAAATATCTGAATTTTTTGTCATACCCATACATTTACAACCATTAATAAATCCTTCCTAGCTAATCATTCATAACAAATATACACATGCCCATTATTATTCATAGCAACATTTATTATCTTTCTCTCCCTCTTTCCCATATCATATTCAGCCACTTACCTTATAATTTTCCTCCCTTATTTTACCTTGTTTTCAGGAATTTCATCTTTTACACGTATACAAACAATCTGACACGTACACATCATTTTAATAGCTCTTACGTGAATAAATTACATCTAAATACACATTTACAAACTCTTTCCTTTTCAAGCCTCTTCTGTCTCTCTTATGTAAATAGTAAATCATCTTCATACGATACATGAGAAACGGCTAACAAAGAAAATGAGTGAGTCGTAAAGTTGTCGAGTAATACATTATTTTGACAATAGTAACGCGGCTGCAACTAAACAAACTTAACCCAAGGATGATAGAAATAACCAAATAAATATGTTCGTGTTTTTCCCGATTTCTTCACAGACCAATACTGAGTATGTAACCAATGCTCATAAAACATTATATACACTCAACTGCCAAAACTAGGGAGAACTTACGTAATAAGACTTATTTATTTCCAAATAACCTCTTTCTGACCTCCTTCCCCAGCTATCGTGAAGATATGTCCTGCCTCCCAATGGAGCTCCTTCATAACATAAGCCATTAGCTCTACCTTGGAGCCTCAAGTTCTTCTGGTCCCATTCTTTAACCTCAACTTCCTTAAATTTCTAGGCTGCACACAATCCACTCTTAGGGATTGCTGTCATCTTCCTCAGTCTTATACGGCTTTCCTGCGTTTACCGCTTGATCGGTCTCCTGCTTTTGATCGAGTGACTCTGGGCTGCCTCCAACGGGTTGTGCGTCCCTAAGATACTTTTGCTTGTAACGCATCCTTCAGAGTTTCTATCTTTTAGCTCTTCCTCTTCTCGGGTNCCCAATGGAGCTCCTTCATAACATAAGCCATTAGCTCTACCTTGGAGCCTCAAGTTCTTCTGGTCCCATTCTTTAACCTCAACTTCCTTAAATTTCTAGGCTGCACACAATCCACTCTTAGGGATTGCTGTCATCTTCCTCAGTCTTATACGGCTTTCCTGCGTTTACCGCTTGATCGGTCTCCTGCTTTTGATCGAGTGACTCTGGGCTGCCTCCAACGGGTTGTGCGTCCCTAAGATACTTTTGCTTGTAACGCATCCTTCAGAGTTTCTATCTTTTAGCTCTTCCTCTTCTCGGGTTAGCTTCTTCTAGTTGGACCATGGGTAAATTTATATGGAGAATCTTTCTGGCTGACCCTACGTTACAACACTTAACAAACTTACTGCTGTTTTGAATTAACGAGGTTGTTACGATAATGAGTAAGTCTTTTAACCCGCTAATACATGCTTATGCCAATAACCAATTCCTATCAAATAAAACTAATCTATAAAAATGTGAATCAAGACAGTACTCTTTGTATTTTCTTTGCCCCCTCCTCATCTTACAAAATGCACTCAAAATAATAGCGCATAATCACTATTGTTTAGAGAACACAAGATAGTTTACATTATAAGCCTGTATGTTTTTTATGGATATGGCATGTGCTATCTTGTCTATTATCGTATAGAAAATGTTTGACCCTCTAATTACAATAATCATACAAAATGAGTGAAGTCAATTCAAGTATAAAAAGTGTTTAACCCCATTTCCTTCATCTGCGACTCGAGTGAGGTCGAGTGAGGTAGAGTCGAGTCGAGTACCCTCGAGTAGCCTCGAGTTAAGTGTTAAAATATTTTTATACCCTGTTATTTTAGGTTACGAGTCGAGTGCCCTCGAGTCGCCTAGAGTGAGGTCGAGTGTCCTAGAGTCGACTCGAGTACCCTCGAGTCGACTCGCAGAAATATTTTTACACCCTGCTTTTGTCATTTCTGCGACTCGAGTACCCTCGAGTCGAGTGTAACAAACTAACCGTAACTAATTAGTGTTTGTTTTTCCCTATAACTAATACTTTGGTCCACTTTTCCTATGTTTAGACTCAATTATCGACTATTTACTATTTACTATTTATTAATCACTAATTCAGGAGCGGCCCACCACGATGGCCTAGTTTTCCATAGGCGAATTATTGTTTCACCTTCAGGTAATATTACGGATACAACAAAGTCAATGATTTTGATTGCATTTCGTGCACCATTCCATTTCTGCATCAGGTTCACTGGCAAAATCCCATTATGAATAATTCTCTTAGTTTGTAAATATGCCAATCCCTCTAACACATCCTTCATAACCATTTTTATGTGGGCATGATCACCACCCTTCCAAGTGAATTGATTCAGTTTCTCACTCAGTGTAATTTCAACAGGATACTGAGTCTTTGTAACTGAGTTATTTGCAGTGAATTTGTAGTATTGATACGTCTCAATTATGTTAGGATGCTTCAAGTTCTTAATTGTCTCACAATCCACCCTGTTAATAACTTTTGTTATTGGGTGGCTGATTTTGAGAAACACATCATCTCTCGTAAACAACAATGTCATAGAAACAATGTAAGAACGTGTAAAACCAAAGGATTCCAGATATCGTGTTACTGCCGCATCATCAGAAGTCTTGTATAGTTCTTCAATCTTCTTTGCAATAACAATAAAGTTGCTATAGTGTTTGAGATTGACAGACTTGTCAGGTTTTACTGTCTCCGTCTTCTTATCTGATTTTTGTACTACTGTTTCATTCTTTGGGTTATTTTTGTTCTTTAGGTGTTTTCGTACCAGTAATACTGTTACTACGATAGTCAAAGTAAGCATCAATACTGTGAATGCACCCAATATGATTGCTTTTATCAGTCTATTCTTCCTAGTTAGTTCCATGGTAATGGGTACTCCTTTGCTAAAAATATTTATCNAAGTTGCTATAGTGTTTGAGATTGACAGACTTGTCAGGTTTTACTGTCTCCGTCTTCTTATCTGATTTTTGTACTACTGTTTCATTCTTTGGGTTATTTTTGTTCTTTAGGTGTTTTCGTACCAGTAATACTGTTACTACGATAGTCAAAGTAAGCATCAATACTGTGAATGCACCCAATATGATTGCTTTTATCAGTCTATTCTTCCTAGTTAGTTCCATGGTAATGGGTACTCCTTTGCTAAAAATATTTATCTTTAATGATAGCAAATATCAGTAAAAGTTGACGTGTGGTTTTTTTATAAACAAGGTTACTAATGCTTTAGCTGTACAGTGCATGTGTGTTATTAGTCAGCAATGATAAAAAGTGATATATCATACTCCTTTATCTATCAAACTGAACATATTACAGGAGTATAAATGTGTGATTGATATCAGAACTAATCAATTTAAATAGAGTATAACTCAAAGTTATTGTGTTTGTTGATGTTGGATGGCTGAATTGGCATCAGGAAAAGTGTTAAACCTATCACAACGACTATTTAAGAAACAGCTTTCTTGAACTCCACTTATGGACAATGAATCATCAGTGAATGCTACACCCAACAGTTGGATTTGTGCGAATAGTTATTCGTAACATCACTAAAGGTATATGTTAAAACTTGTTTCCTCGGTGACGTCGGGTTCGAGAGTTGCCATTCTGTTTGACACGTCTGCAGAAGCTTTACTGTTAATTCTTTTTAGCCCTAATCATTCATTGTGGTAACCCACCTTTGTATATTTTCCTTAAATAGCCATTGTATGATTGTACTTTTTGTTCATTGTTCACTATCGTGACCAGGTAATTTGAGTCTTACTAATAGCCTGATTGTCTGCACAGTCAAGATTATACACTTGTATATGTCATTTTATCATTTTTCTATAGAATACAAAGTTTTTTCTGGGTGTGTGAGCATACTTTTGTAAAAGTTTTCTTTATTTAACTAGAATATAGATATTCAACCTGATGTAACACATGCTGTTATGTACTTTGTTAAGCCCTCTATATCATAAAACTCGACTTAAACAACATTTTCCAGTTTTTGCATATAATTAGATCATAAAAATACTACAAAATACCATATTCTATTCAGAAACCATACTATAATCACAGTCACATACTAATCAATATATTTATCTAACATAAAATCAATTGTTGCTTTCTTTAATGATCTAATTACGTTCCAAAAATGTTTTTTATAGAAATTAACACACAATTATCTACTTTTTATCAAAGGAGAATATGTAAAGTTATATTGCTTGTTAATTGCACCTATAATATAAAGGTGCAAGGATATTTATAAACGCACTAGAATATAAAACGTGAATATTATCACTTCTTTCCCCCCTAACAAATGTTGATCAATTTTGCACAGCTCATTTTTCACACCAGAAATACACTTGCATCTCAACCAACGGTTTTAAACGCAATCAAACTAGACAAACTAATATGTTCATCACCCTTAAGATCAGTCTATGAATATGGATCTGATTATGAAATTACTATCTTGCCCGAAACACATGCTTACAACGAAATGAAGTTGATCAGAAAATTGAAAGAATTGAATTTGGAAACAGAGCATGCTAAATTAATCAAGTTTACAGAATATTCTGATGCTGAACCTACCAAATATCAACATGGATTGATCTCAAAAAGTTGGCGGAATTTGGCTAAACAAGGTATCTACATCAGATCCAAACAAACTAACCGCACAATAATATACGGTGATTCAATGATANTATTTGGACCAGAAGAATCAATTACTAGAGAAACACTAACACCAATTCTAGAATATTTTGGTGATGTGATTGTTACACTCATTACGAATGAAATATTTCTATACTATGGTGATTTCAATATAGTAATCAAAGATACACCTGAAACCACCAAGGATAGCTTACAAACCCAAGGAACCTATTTAGAAAGGAAACAAGAACTAAAATTGTTCTTCTCTGCATTCGCAGGAACATCTTGTTGTCAGCATGCAACACTAGATGATTTCATGCAGCTACAAAAAGAAGAACCAACAACAAATCCTCCTCTTCCCAAAAGAAGAAAAACTATAAGTTCAAATCGTCACAATATTGCTACAATCGTCTCACAGATGATGGACGCATGTGTTTATGCTCTTCTTATGGCTATTCCTGATTGTGAACATGAAATAATCAATTGCGATTTGGATAAAGGCAGAAATGAAATAATCCAAGATCTTTGTAAAGAACTATTGGAAGAGAAAATCCTACCAAGCATCATACAACGAATATAAACAACCTTAAAACTGAGTAATATCTTTTATTACTATATTGCACCTTCATTCGCCTTTGATAATTTTAACCGTCTCATGAATGACATCCCTGCTATCAACAGTATCAACAATACTATTCCTCCTGCTAATAACCACACCCACAATTTCCTCTGTGTCTTGACTTCTTTTTTACTTGGTTTTATCACTGTCTTTGCTTTTGTCACTGTCTTTGTTTTTACATTCGTCTTATTTGTTTTAATCCTTTTAGGTGCTTTGTGTACGTATTCTTTCAGGCCTACTATTCTTACTTTATTATCATTCCCAACTCTAAACTCTACTTTTGGTCCATCAATAACCTTTCCACCTATAGTTACCCTGAAGAAGAACTGTCCTTTCCTTGGTCTACCAACATCCAAATATAACTTGTCAGCTTCTAGGAATATTGGACACTCTGCAATGTGCTGTTGCGTAACATAAGCTCTTTTTTTGAGTTCCATCCTTATTCGTTTTGTTCCTATGAATTCTACGGTTTGTTTTAATGCATCGTATACACATGATGGACCTTTGGCCATGAACTTTTTCTTCATCGACGCATCATTCAACTCTTTCATTGCTTTGGAATATTCAATTTCCGCTAAATTATCACAAATCAAAAACAATGTTACTCGACTAAGCAATAACAAGGAATCGGGTGGTGTCACTGCCATTAGCATCACTTGATAATGTGTTTTCATTCTTTCTGTAGAATCATAAAGATTTCTTTCAGTTTTTTGATCCCCATCTATTTCCACACACTCAATTGATGACACCCTTTCTTCGTCATTGATTGGATTGTACAATTCAATTGATTTGAGTTGAATCTCGGGCAAAACAATGTATTTACCATTATCCATCGTCATTGGTTTAGCAAGATTGTTTGGTTTGGCGTAAATAACTCTTCCAAAATGCAATATGGATATTATCAGTGACATTGGGGTTAATATTGATCAAAAATAATTTAACTGTAGATTAAAAAGTGTGATTGTGATACACGTAGATAAATGTACAACCATCGCTTGTAAATTATCTCTTTATTGCTCAATTTTCACTTTCCCTTAAATTTATCCTTTCTATATTACCCCTATGTTAATATGCCAAATCCTAACTGTTTTAAGTGCTCTACTGAAGATAGTTGAGAACAAAAATAACAACGATCCATGCTTCTTTCACAATTGTTTCTGGAACAAACACCTAGGAAATGAATTCTCAATCAACGAATTAACATATACCAATGATGAACTTGAAATACAATTTTACGATATTTTGAATCAGCAAATACTTGCACCATATAGAGACCAATTGAACCGGGATCAACTGAAAGCATGTGAAGAATGTATTGAGTCATTCAAACTAATATCTGAGTGGTATTTCTCAGATTACAACTCCTTGAAATGTTTCTATCCTGACCTAATTCATACTAAACCAACAATATCATTGATATATCCTAGTGATTCAGTAGTGCAAATAAAATTAGCAATCCCAGTAAGAAATGAACAGACTATCACATTCCAGGAAAATGGTGCGAGGTATCTTCTTGGAATGCATATACTAGATGATTATGCTTCATATATGAATATTCTACGGATGTCATTCCATAAAGTCTATTTTGAAACAGATTGGAAGACTACAATAGTCTCATTCAAATTCGCNCTAATATCTGAGTGGTATTTCTCAGATTACAACTCCTTGAAATGTTTCTATCCTGACCTAATTCATACTAAACCAACAATATCATTGATATATCCTAGTGATTCAGTAGTGCAAATAAAATTAGCAATCCCAGTAAGAAATGAACAGACTATCACATTCCAGGAAAATGGTGCGAGGTATCTTCTTGGAATGCATATACTAGATGATTATGCTTCATATATGAATATTCTACGGATGTCATTCCATAAAGTCTATTTTGAAACAGATTGGAAGACTACAATAGTCTCATTCAAATTCGCAGAGCTCACTAATTCACCCAGAGTACTTTTCAGGCATCCGATGAGAATTGAAACTGAACTTCTCCTAAAAATATTTGAGGGATTTGCAACATACAATAACGTCAGAATATATGGGAATGCCAAGATTTCACAAGATTTTCCGTATCTTAAAAATAGATTCAGTACAGTGATACAATTCAGTGATGACTACAAATTTAAAGACAACAACGATTTACCTGAATTAAAACAGATAGAAGAACCAAAAAAGGAAAATAATCAAATCCAAGTACCACAAAAGAAAAAGAATACAATGCTAGTTATAGTGATATTACTTGGAGTAGTGATAGTATTGGTAGCGTTTGTAAACTACAAAATAATGAAGAAAACAGTTTAATCAGAGATTTTAGTGGCTTATTGGTATCAATTCTTTTTACCTAATTGAACAATGNATAGTATTGGTAGCGTTTGTAAACTACAAAATAATGAAGAAAACAGTTTAATCAGAGATTTTAGTGGCTTATTGGTATCAATTCTTTTTACCTAATTGAACAATGATATTCTTATGCTCTCCGTCTGATCATCGATATAATCCACCATTGTTACAATATCACATGTTACAATTCAATATGGATACATTAATAAACCCATGCAACATGATCCTGAATTACAAAATGAAGTTGTTTCTAGAACTATGTTGCATACTGGCTTGCTCAACATCAAAAACGGACTAATATTTGCTGCTACGTTGAATATTAGTGGAAATCTGACACCGTTGCAACTTGAATTCCTGACATTCAAAATTGACATTCTCCTGGTATTGAATACACTGGTATACATCGCATTTGTCTTCACGTTGTTGAATAAGGATGTTGACGCTTATGGAAACGCATTGGTGATTCTATCAATCTTCTTCCTATTAATTGTATTCAATACAATACAATCATTAATGCACTTAGTAGGGGAAGAGCTAACTACAAGTACCATCTTATACATATTGCTATTTGTAGTGTTAATTATCGAGATGTATTTCGCAGTGGTATTCTACAAGAGAATCGGATTTTACTCAATAAGCTACATTTCATCACATACAAAAACTCTCAAGATTATTGATGCATATCAAAAGAGGAGCAAAGTATTTGGACTGCGTATCGGATATTCAATATTGCTAGCATCTATACTGTATGTATTGCTGGCCGAACTCTTATTGCTAGTATCATTCAAAGACATCACAGTTATTGCAGAAAGTCGAATTCTTAATCATGCAGGTGCTTTTAGTATCAGGTTTGTAGGTTTTGTACTTGATTTATCAATACTGCTCACTATTTCGTTAAGTTTCAATGAAGAGAATAGAAAACAGAGGCATATTTTAATATGTCTTGTAATTACCCAAATACTCCTCACATGCACTATTCTCACATTACAGGCAATAATTCTCAAAGGTGAATTTACACAGTATGATACTGGTGTAATAATTGCAGTGATTTATGATTCTTATTCCATTGTTGTGATATGGCAAGAATCAAAAGTATTGGGTACTGGACTAAAAGAAATACTCAAAGATACCTCACGAGACACCACACGATTTCTACTGTAAACCACATTAAATCTCATCAATAACGGTGTTAATATTGTTTAAATGGTACTGTATGTTCTATTTTCTGATGTAATACTCTTATAGTTCTCATTTACTATGAACATCTCTGTTTAAAATAACAAAATGCCTATTTTTATTGCATCTTCGCATCAAAAATGTTTATATAATCATTTTCCTGTAGATAACAGGCGATAATATGCTGAAAATAGCCTAATAAAACGCTGTCTCCACTTCACTCTTTCCCTAATATTGTCTTCTTTGCAATACACCCCCCACTATACCTTATCTAGACGATTCATAAACTCTTTATAACCTTTTTCTATCTCATTATTGACATTTAATCTGATATAAAATTATTATAAGCGATAGATTTAAAACTCTTTAACTATTCAAGCGCCTTGGTCATTCTCTCCTTGTACCTTTCAATAGATCCCTTCTCTTTAACAACACTCACACAACTTCCTCTAACAAGTAACCTATTCTCACTCCTTAGATTCTGATACTCATCACGTGTCATCTTCGTAAATCCATGAATCGTAGACTCCTGAATCAATTGTTTCCCTGGTAACTTGTTTTTAGCTCTTCTCAATGCTTCTTTAGCGTGGGATACAAAATTACCCTTTGTTCTAACATTGATGATGTGCTGACCAACAAATACTCTTGCTGCTCTACCATATGGTTTACCAAATGAATTCCTCATTCCAGTCTGAAGTCTGTCTGCTCCAGCACACGTCAACATCTTGTTTATTCTCAAGATATTCAATGGCTGAGGACATATTCGCATATGGAAGTTATCCTTACCAGCCATCTTTACCATGTACTTGTTAGCTGCAACTCTACATGATTCCAATGCTTCTGCTGAAAGATGCTCTTGTTCCATTGAAATCAAATTGACTCTGAATGCCAATGCATCTGCTGATGCCTTTCTGTTTCCTAAGTCGTGAATTGCTATCTTTGATTCAGGAACACCTCTACAAAATCGCGATTTAATGTACGCCTTCTTGTTGATTGTTCTGTAGCATTTGAATGGCCTTCTACCCATTTGGGGTAAAAATTGATAAAATTTCTAAACAAAGTGTTTATCTAACTTATTCTACATCTTAAGAGAAATTAGACAGCGTCATTCAACTAAATATTGCATGTTACTAGTCTCATTTAAACTGTTGCCGTACGGCTGCGATTTTAGGTGTATAATACATTTATCCCTTTCGCAAGGTAAAACAGGTAAAACTAGGTGTAACTAATTTTATGCAAAGAGATTGAATTCTTAGCTTCTTATACACATCTATGTACACTTACAATCAGAATTTATATTTATTTATTTACTGTTTGTTTATTGCATTGTTACTTCTTGTTTCTCGTTTCCAGTTACTCACATCTCAACGTGTTCTTGATCTTACACCATACATCCATTCCCTTTGTTTTGTTTACTTTGCCTTTATAAATGATTTGATGATTAATCCATGAATTTCCTGATGTTTTTTTCCTAGATTGATCGACGCATTCCATTCCCCTCACGAAACCACCACTGAGAAAGGTATGGCTGAATCAGAAATTTTAGTCAAGCTGATTATGGGGCTTTCTGATTGTGAGAGTGAATATGATGCAGATCACAGTCTAGACGAAGTTGATCGCGCACCACCACCATTGACAAACATCGATGATGACCTGCTCCTACAAATTGATGGAAAGATAGGTGGAGAGGATTTCGTTGATAAGAAGCTCGTGACCCTGAAAATCCAACAATTCACACTTTCCCCAATATTCAACAGAAACTGGTGTGTTTCTGAGAAATCCCCTGAGTTTGCAAAAAGAGTGCTTCCTAATAATGATACGGCCGTCTTGAAGTTTGTACTTCCAGAAGATAAGGCTGTTGACGCTGTGGTTGTTCTTGAGACACACTCTTTTTTTGCTTCCTATGAGGCAGAATTTCCCCTTTTTGTTGAAGGAAAACAGAAGACGATTCTTAAGGCAGTGAATAGTCCAAATTATAAGGCAGATTTGAAATACACTGTAGAAATAGAGAATAGACCAAGACAGTCTTTGAAAAAGAAGGCGAAGATGGCAATTAAGGCGGCTAATATACAGAATTCGATGACTACAAAGCAGTTTGTGAAAAAGTACAGGACGAGTGTTTCCAGCAGTAGTTCGTCTCTGTCAAGTGAGGAGCTTGAGAAAGAGAAACTAGGCCTTTTCACCAACTACAGACAGGTTCGTAGTAACGTCTTAGAGTTTCTGAATGAAACATCTGTGGTTTCAATCTATTCATTCATAACTGCAGTTAAAGAGGTCTCGCGGTTGTACACCAAAGTCACAGAAGTAGAAAAGCAGGCGCAACCTGGCTACCAGGAACTGTTGAAAATACCCGCTTACGATACGCTCGATTTTGCTAAATACGCTAAGGCAGCCTACTTCGCCGAACCACGCCAAAACAATGATGCTGAAATTACTCATCAAATATGCAACATGCTGAATAAAAAACCAAAAGATCTGATAATGACTCAGGTTTCAGAAGGAAACAATATTGGATTCATTTTGGTGAAGCATAATCCAGATACATTGGTACTTGCATTCAAGGGAACCAGTACTGTGACTGAAGTTGCACATGACCTGAATTTCACGTATATTGAAGCATATTTTGGATCATTCTACACACATAAGGGATTCTGTAACTACATTCAACTATGGGAAAGCAAACACATGGAAACAGTAAAGAGAAAGATGCATGGATACAGCAATCTGGTTATCACAGGTCATTCACTTGGTGGATCAGTGGCACAGCTATGTTACACCTATATCAAAGAAAAGGTGCTATTTCAGAGAAAGAGTGTCTCATGTGTAGCATTCAGTCCAGCACCAACAGTAGATATGAATTATGCACAAAATGCAAATTGTGAAATAGTCTCCTGGGTTTATGGCGATGACGTAGTACCACAATCCAGCTTAGGATCAGCTGCATTCCTGAAACTGTGTGTGGATGAATTCAACAGAGGCCGTAAGAACATGTCACTGCTTCCTCACTGTCGTAAAATCAGAGAAAATAGTGATAAGACTGTTTGCTGCCTTTATCACCCTGGAACTGTCTATCACCTGATTAAAAGGGAAAATGGCTACTGGGCCAAAACATTCGGACTTCACGATTTGACTGAAATCAAACTGTTTCCAGATTCACTGAAAGATCACAAATTGATCAACTTTCTGGATGTCTCAGTTGCTGCAGCATAAGTTGCAAATGTAAATAAAAAGCACATCTTCAACCATTTATTGTTCTTTACCTACTTTATTTTATTGCGAACAATCAGGTGAATAACAGTCAGCAAGATCACCAGGGCCAAAATAACACCAAGAACAATTGCAGTGTTTCGGAGCTTTCTGGGTGGTTTTGATGTATCAGACTGTGGAGTAGGCTTCTTTGGTTCCATCTGACCTATTTTGTACGTGGTTGTAATTTTTTCAGTACTTCCAACCATCATATCACTGATGTATTCATTGTTATCAATTTTCAGGCAGAAGAAAACCATGAATTCACCTTTTAGTGGCAATTCAAATTGTTGCCTGAATTCAGACTTCTCTCGCTCAAAATGGATCATAAAGTGCTCCTTCATCAGTATCCTCCTAAAAATATCTAAGGTTGCATTCGTGTACCATCCGTCAAGCATTTCTCGATGGTCCCCTCTTGCTCTAAACACCAACTTTGCTTCTATGATTGCCTGCTTAATTAAATCAGAGAGAAACGTATTCACTGGATAGAAGCCAGCGTATTTTATATCGGTCTTATCCTTGAATGAATCCATTGAATCCAATGCAATCTCAGTTTTCACATCATCATATGACAAGAGCTCCTTAAAACCACGCATGATATCAGATAGAATTTGATCGGAATGTATTCTCATACAATTCTTCACTAGAACACCATCACCATCCTGATTTCCTATTCCAACAGCCGTTATTTCAATCTCATCAGTTGCTTTTTTCATTTTATATACCAAAAATGTGCTCATTGTTTCAATTGGCTCCACTGGATCCATTATTGTCGAAATGTTTGCCTTGTTTTCTTCTTCTTTCTTGTATAATTCCTGGAATGTGCTTCCTAGAACAGTACCAGTGATAGAAAGCAGTAAAATGTGGTTTAATTCCATTTAAGGGATAATATTTTACTCCTGATAATTTATGACTGGAATTGAGGACGAGCGATTGATGCGTGAATACATGAAGCAGAAAGAGGAACTTGAGAAGCTGATTGTTGAGCTACAGTCACAGATGACCCAGACTAACATTCCATTGGACAGAAAATATACTGAAAAATATCCAATCTATAATGCAGCTGCAATTCTGGGCCAGAATCAGGGAGATCTACTTCGTCTAAAGCTATTTGTGAACAAGAAGTGTAACCAAATATCAAATGACATGCAACATACGCAAGGAATTATACAGGATATTCGTGCCTATGAAAAAGACGGTGTATTCAGGGACATTTTTCTACTCAAATTGCTTGATCAGGGAAAAGTGACAGTTGCGAGTCATTTGGACTTCTATAGGCCACTTGGATTCATTCTGTCTCAATTGGATGCATCATACGAGTCCTTTTACGTCAGACTGCTGATCTACAAGAGTGCCAATGAGGCAGAAATCAAAGGAATATACGCCATTTATTTTGGAGCACTTTACTACAAGAATGACTATAAGGGAGCATGGTTCTTCTTGGCATCTATTCTGAATGTGGCTCCTGGGGCTCACACACCACACGTGTTGCAAGTATACTTCGTAATACTCGCTGAACTGCTCGGAAACCACTCTAAGAGGCGCCTGGCTAAGATACTCAGCTACCTAAACAGAATTTATTTCGTAAAAATGAACAACCACCCCATTCAAATACGCATAACACAAGCTATAGAAAAATACATTTGAATCATATGGATCTCTTTATTCTGCTCTTTAGTTCAGCCGATAGTCTGATTGCTTCCTTTATTTCCCTATTCAATTCATCATAGACCTCTTTGTATTCATCCAGTATTCTACACAGTTCCAATTCAAATGATTCAGTTTTGTGTTCCATTTTAGGGGGAATATGATAGGTAAAATAACAATGCAACTAAATTAACTAAATATTATTTTATCTGTTTGACTTCGCAATCCTCTCAACTTCCTCCTTCTTCTTCACAGCATACGATGTCTGCTGATTTGCAGCTGCATTCATTATTTCATTAGCCATGATCTCAGGCATATTCTGCTTCTTGTTGTTGAATGCACTGCTTCTGATTCCATCAGACAGAAACTGAAGTGCCTTGTTTACGCGCTTGAATGGACTCACATCAACAGAAGTCCTCTTCATGGCTCCACCCTTTCCAACTCGAGCAGAAATCTCACGTGGGCCCGCATTTATCACGGCATCAACAAGTGCCTGAATTGGGTTCACTCCACGCTTCTCCATGATCTCACATGCCTTCTTGAACAATTTGATTGCAAGTCTCTTCTTTCCTGAGTTTCTACCATGTTGCATGAGATGTGCCACAAATCGCTCTACAATTGACGTATTGTTCTTACCAAAGTGTCCCAGGTCATCCTTCGTGGCCGTGTGTGGGACAATACACACCTTAGCGATGTTGATATGCGCCTTCAGCGACTCATCGTTCACCTTTACGTCCTCAAACGTGTATTTGTAGAACAACTTCATTCCATTCTGCTTCTCTACCGTATCCATGGGGTAAATTTTTACTATTTTTTGCATGAAATTATGCAACATATTTAAGGTTATTTCCGTCTATTTCTGCATACTCTTTTTCTACCAGCTGCTTTACAACTGAATTCACCAGGGTCATTTCATCCATCTTTTCAATTTCAGACAATTCAACTGATTTCTTCCTTTTCAATATTGCAGTAATTTTAGCCATAAGAACACTTCTGATACTTATATCGTACAAATCAGTATCGTCTTTGATTTCCTCCATATCACCAGCAATATATGATGACTTCAGGGTGAAATCACCTGCCTTAATTTTGATCAATTTGATTGTCTCTTTCCCAACTTCAACAATCTTGTTTTTCTTCAGAATGTTGATCTGTTTTCTCACAAACACGTTGTCAGATACCTTACACTCCTTCTTATCCAATAGTTTCTGAATCAGCTCAAATTGTGCCAGATTCAAGTGCATTTCGTCTCCATTAATTTTCACAGTCACCTTTGACATCAAGTCATTGAATTGTATTGCAATATTGTCAATTTTCAGGTTGTCTGCCACTTCCTTTTTTATTTTGGGTAAATTGGCTAGTTCCACTTGGGTGTTTACGAAAACAGGCCAATAGCACTTCTTCATCAACAAGATTGATTTGGTAGGCCCCTTCAATCTCTTGGAATTCTCAACCTTCTTATTTCTTAATTCATCAAATATTGAGTTGTTCAGCATCAGACTGCTTCCTATACTGCATCTATCTTTGATATTGATTGGCAACAGCCTATACTTCTTGATCAACGCATCTCTAATTTCATTGTTCTGGATCCTAATCTCATTTTCAGCCTGTTTCTGTTTCACATCCTTCTCATTCATGTGTTGAAAATACTTGCTGTTTTCATCCTTGTTCTTGAATTCAACCATCACTCGAATCAGTTTATGTTTCTGATGCTCACTGCAACAAGCAAGGAACTTCAGGTAATCATCTTCAGTATAACCATTCTTGAACATGTTCTTTACCAGGCCAAATATCAGCATTTTTGTGTACATCTCCTTATCAGTTGCATTACGCATCACTTTGCTGAGCAACCTAAACAGAAATAGTCCTCTATTATCATCTGATCCTTCACGTTTCTTATTCAGAGACACCTTGTTTATTTGAAGTGTGGCCTCCTTCTTAAATGCAAGTTCTCTCAGTGGCTCCAAATCACCTTCGTTTATTTCGCTGCTGTCTAACTCTTCCTGCCAGTATGTTCTATTCAGGTGATTTTCCAATATTTCTTTTGCCGTGGTTATTTTGCTCAAATCTTCTTCAATGGTTTTGAAATCGACTCTTTTGTACTCTTCTATGCCCGCATATCTCAATATTTTGTATTGGAGTTCTTTTGACTCTACTTTGGTGCATAAATAACCATGAAATCTATCGATTTCCTCTGACATTTTCAACTTCTCCTGATTTCCATTGACTAAGTCTTTGATCAGTTTCTCCTTGTAAGCAGTGTATTTCTTAGCCAACCTCTTCTCAACTGCTTTTGTATCAAGTTTCCCTTCTATTTTCATCTGAATGAACTTACAAATGTTCTCAGCTACAATCTTCTGATCAATCAGCTGTATAAATGCAGTTGGTGGATCAAGATGCAAGGACATGCACAACTTCTTAGCAAAGCACTGTGCATCCAGAAGCAAATGAACCATCTTTTCGAAATCATTGCGTGCTAACTCCACTGCCTTAATTTTTATTGCAAGTATCTTGCTTTGTTCATTCATGATGTACCTACTCAATACGCGACCGCAACTTAATTCTAATATTGTCTCTTTTTCTAAGTTCTCTAACTCCTCAGTTGTTGGCTTTCTTTTGTTTATCAGCTTATTGTAGAACACCTCCAATTTAAAGTATTCATTTTTAAAATACTCTTTTATGAACCTGACTTGTGCATTATACTCCATTTCTGGCCTAAACAGGTGTTCTTCATCTGCCTTGTTTATCAAATCATCCTTCTTGAACAATGTTTCTGCTATTTCCAGATGTGTCTTATTCCTATCTCCTTTCAAATTCTCATACAATTCCGCCTTGTATTTCTCATAGTCTTTCTCTATGAATGTCTCAATTGCCTTGTATTGTTCAATGTCAAATACACTATTCTTCATCTGCTTGTACCACACATGCTCGTATTTATCAAAGAATGCTCTATTTAACATCTCAGTTAGCATTTTTGTAGCATCGTATGCTTTAATTAAACTATCCCTGTTTTCTACGCATATACTGCCCAAACACTCCCTGAATCCAGCCAATAACTCTTTCAAGTCCAACCCCTTGCAATCCCTATACGATAAATAGACTTCATGATTACCCTTGCATCTCTCTAATGCATCCTTCACTTTCTTGAATACGTCATTCATAAACGGCTAAATTTTTCTACTTTTGCCTATTTTCCCTCCAAATTATTTCAATAGCCCAAATCACCAAGATCAGCCAAATATCAAAACAAAAAAGGAGGCACAGTTCTCAAATAAAACTGTCTTTTTTGGAAGCCCTTATGTTTGGCATACACGAGTGTGAATTAACATTCTCAAAAGTGAGTCCAATTCTGACCGTAATTTCTGCCATGCTCAGCACGGCTGGATTGATAGAAAAGGGATTTGAACCACACTTCATGAGTCTGATAATTCCATGTTTCATTAGCATGTACTTGCCAGGACTCATTGCAAATTGCACTACCCAGCGATTCATAGTCGACTACAGGTGTGCGTTGCTACAGATGGTTGGAGTTGCACTGAGTCTCTTCCTTCACAACCAAAGGACGCTTCTCCGTCTCATTGGCGATCTGCCTCTTGCTTCGAAGATGTTCAATTATTTGAGCTACTCTCACGAAAAAGGAAGCACCAAAGCATTGCTGACGTGGCTGGTTATAAATGAGCTAATGAGCATCTTCATCAGGAAGTCGCTGCTCAGGAAGAAGATGCGCATCAGAAGCGGTGAGGCTGTGAATTCATTCTTATGCATCCTTGTTCTGGGGCTGGTTCGCTACTACGGGCTTCCAACCAAATACGTTGCATTGGCCATCTTCACTGTTCCAGTGTTGAAGCGCATTCAGAAAGTGGTGCTTGTTCTGCGTAGCAGCAAGAAGGATTCCAGTACCAAAGCAATGACCACCAAGAAGGAGCCAGTAGCAAATCCAAAAACAAGAAGAGGCAAGAAGAAAGCCGACTAACCAAAAGAGCAATAAATAAGCTAAAGCAATTTATGTAACTAAGATGAGTGAATAGTCTACTCTCTGACTACCTACTTAGTCAAGTGACTTGAATCCAATTATTTCAGCCTTGATATGCAGGCATCTTCTGCACAGATTCATTCCGTGCTTCCTATTGAATCCCCTGTGGTTTGCACATCTCTCGCATCTTCTGGATCCCTTTCCAAATGGCTTCTTATGACAAAATGCACTCGTTTTGTCAATTTCCTTTCGTACTTTCAAGTCGTTGATCATGGGCAAAATTTGCTGGATAATTTTCAGAAAAGGAGCAGAATGCTCGTTAGTATAGAAGACGATTATAGCGACGTCTTTCTGAACAGCGCAGTCTTCTTCTTGATATTCCTGGTCTCGTTCCTCTTTCTGGAGATCTGCTACCAGCTGTACAAAAAGAAGGTGTACGAAAGACGATGAAATATTTGTAACAAAAACAAACAAGATGAGTCTGTTTGACAACGAAATTGAACTAAAAGACGCAATTAGAGACTGGTTGGTGTACGCATTACTCTTTGTGGTGCTTCTTGGATGCATAGTGGGATTTGATGCACTAAAAAACAGGTTACTCAAAATGGTCAGAGAGCGTGTCAAAGAGAGACAAAACAGTACTACGGTACCTGATTCAAATGAACATAAAGTATGAGATCACTTGATGCTTCTAGAATGCACTTCTGTTTTCCAAACAACCCAAAACTGCCCTAAAACATTTTGCTTTTCCACCCTATGAAAATCATAGACATTACCAAAATGGTAGCATTTGCACTTTGTGTAGTTTGCGAGGCCGATGACGTACAGACCATGAACAGAATATACGATTGTTGCACCAGAGGCAAGTTCAGTGAGGCAGAAAGAATGTACGAGGAATTGTTGCAGAACACGAAGAATAACAAGAGAATCAACCACGAGTACGCTGAATTCCTCTACAAAATGGGGAAATATCAGCGAATAATCGAATTAAAGGACATTCTTAAAATAACCAAAGAGAGGGAGGATGAAGTCAAGCAAAACATTGCTGTAATAAAGACAGGCGTAAATAAGAACATCCTGAGACTGCTGGATAAAAGTCCGAATTCATTTGAAATTGTCTATGCTGCTGCAGTCAACGCATTTGAAAAGGGAGATCGCACCAGGTTCTACGGCTATTTCAACAGGCTCAAGAGCCTGAATAAGGATGATAATCGAGTGATTCTGCTTCAGGCCAGACTCAACATGGCTGATGGCCAATACCAGGATGGAATCCGCCTGTTTGAGAAGCTGGGGCACCAGAATTTCGTAGAATACGCCAAATTGTTTCTGGACAAAATTGCCTCATTCAACTCAATTTCAAGTGGTAAAGAAAAGGCGCAACATTTCGTGCGTCTCTACAACAATATGGTACCACTGCTCATCAAAGACAGGTACAAGCCATCTCTGTACACCAGAATTGCCAAAGACGTGCTTGAGAAGATTGTGGAAATTTGTTTGAATAGTGCTATTGTTGGTGGTGTCGCATACAGCAACAAGCTGCTCTACTCAGATCCAGGCAACCTGAAGCACGTTATAAACCACATCAGACTCCTTCTGGTTGAAAATAGAGTCAGAGAAGCTGTCTATTTATTCAAGGAGAAGAAGAGTGAGCTGCCTAAAAATGTTAGGGTGTTTCTGACTGACCTGATTGAGAGGAAGCAGAAGGAGGTCGAAGAGGAGCAGAAGAAGCAGAGGGCAGAAGAACAGAGAAGACGAGAGCAGCGAGAGAGACGTAGACGTGCTCAAATGGGTAAGTCAGACAATGCTGGAAAGGACTTCAAGGAATACTACAAAACATTAGCCATAAAGAAGGATGCAAAAGAGAAGGAAATAAAGAAGGCGTGGAAAAAGGCAGCTAAAAAGGCACAGATTGCGATGGCAAAGAAGGAGAGGGAGACAGGCGAGAAGGACGAGACACCACTCAAGCGAGTCAACAAGGCCTGGGAGATACTTGGTGACCCTGAGAAGAAGGAACTGTACGATAAGGGCCTTGACCCTGAGAATCCACAGGAAAGTGCTAACTACCAGTACCAACAGCAATTCAATTTCGATGGATTTGATGACTTCGACGAGATCGTCTCCCAGTTCTTCGGTGGCCGAGGAGGTCAGAGAACCTTCAGGACGTTCTCGTTCCACTAACCTAAAACAATGTTTCTTCTAAAACAATTTGTCTCTTTTTAGCCCTTTATGTTGAACAAGAAAAGTGTGCCAACTTTCTCGACTCCGCTGTATCTAGCGCGCTTCCGCCCGCTCACTTCGTATAAAAATGCAACTGTTTCCTATAAAAGTGGCAGTAGTGCGCCACAGAAGACGGCCCTATGCCGCTTCTTCCTGCATAATGCGTGTAAGAAGGGCGACGAGTGCTCCTTCAGCCACAAACTCAGCGACTTCTCAGACGATGAGATTCTGCGTCTGCTGAACGAGTCTCTTGAGACGCACGTAGCAAAGAAAGAGAGTGGCCTTCTTCTCTAACCAATCTACCTGTCAAGCAACCTCATTATGACTATTCCGTACAAAAATATCATAAATATCTTTAGACTGGTTTCAAGCCCAGCTGTACAGAAGGTGATCACTACAATGTGCTGTAGAATAGTCCAAATAGCTGATTTCTGCCTCATTTTCCTCATTCTGAAGTTGGATCCCTTGCTATGAATTTTATAGGTCTCTGAATTCGCCTTGTTTTCAACTTGTTCTTCCTTCTTTATGCAATATATTTTGTAGGTGGAGTATTCTGTTCTGATTCTGACGCTGATTCTAAGCTGAGTGCTCATGAATATCAGGTAGAGGGACTCAGGTCGCACCAGGTCGTCTGGAAGCATCCCAGAACACTGCAAAAACTGGAAATATTTCTGGGCTAATTTGGTATCACCCAGAATGGCACAAACTGCGATATTCGCGTTACTGAATTCAACAAATTTGCGCATATTCACGTTGTAGAAGGCTCTATCTGGCATCGTCTCCTTTAAACTGAGATCTGTTTGTGAATCAGCCTATGAAATGCACTGGTGAGACCCCATGGAAATGGTGCCTGAAAATAAGGAAGAAAAAGATATTCCAGATATAACAAGACCGTACGATATCGTAGTCTACGGAGCAAGTGGATTCGCAGCCAAATACGTCATCAAACAACTCGAGAAGTCGGCGTATCGCGTCAAGTTGGCAGCACGAAATGCCTCGCGAATTCATAAATCACAGTTTGACAGGGTCCAGGCGAATTTAGATGAAATTGAGAATGTCGCAAGAGAGTGCTACGTGCTGATCAACTTGGCTGGGCCATACACCGGAACAGGAGAGAGCGTGGTTAAGGCGTGTATTCGAATGGGAACAGACTACGTTGACATCACTGGTGAAGTTGGATTCATGCGCAAAATGCTCATTGAATACGACACAATGGCCAAGATAAACGGTGTAGCGGTGATTCACAGCTGTGGATTCGACTCAATTGCCTCTGATTTAGGCGCATTGCACCTGGCTAAGTCATTTGATAAAGTCGCTATAAAGGCTGTTTTGGAAGTATCGAAACTGCGTCTTGGTCGTGGAACCTGGAATTCGCTACTGGAAAGCATGAGAAGCCATCAGAAACACGTGCGTAGTAAAACAGCTCAGACTGGTGCCCCATTCTACACCAAGGAACAAGATCACTATTTGCTGAAATACATTGGCCCTGATGCATTTGTGGTGAAGAAATCGGCTGAAAGACTCAGTAGCATTTTCGACTACAAATTCACAATTTATTTGAAGGTCTATTCAGCAATAAAACTATACTGCATGCTGGTGTGGCTCTACCTGATCAATAAGCTGGTTCAATACGATTGGATTCATAGGCTCCTTATAAGCAACCCAGGAATCAGCACATTTGGCGTATTTAGGAATCAGTTGCCTACTGCTGCTGAATTGAAACAAATCAGGTTCAAAATGGTTCTGGTTGGAGAAGGAACAAGAAGAAGCAAACGGATTGTAAAGCGGACTACGATAAGTGGACCAGATCCAGGATACAGTTCATGTGCGATATTCGTGACAGAATGTGCCTATCAGCTGCTTCGGAACAAGGAGAAGTGCGTCTTAGGAGTCAATACGCCTGCAGTTGCATTTCATAAAACAGATGTGATTGAATGCATAAAACAACAAGGAATTGGATTCAGCACCGAAACAGTTTCACAGGAGTTGTAACAGTAGTAAAATATAATAGTAGTTAGTCAGTTCCTATAACTCCTCCTTGTATCCATCAAACTCCTTCAACAACACTTCCTTGTCACTGTCGTCTCCATTCAGCAGATACTTCACGTATTTATCCGTAATGTCCTTGTTGTGTTTGATATCAATTCGTCCGCTCCTGATGTTCTCTACCACCGTGATCATGTTGCGTATTTCTTCCTCCTGCTTGATATTCTCAGCAATGTACTCGTTGAAATCAGTCAAAGCCAAGTCCATGATCTCACTTCTCATTTCAAATATTTTGTCGAATTTCGTATTCTTTCGGTAGAGACACCCAAGCAGAAACTCGCGAATGATCGTCTTCTGCTCCATCAGCGTCTTAGTTCGTGTTCTCAGCTCAAGATCCTCAACAATGGCCATGAACTCATTGATCCATTTTCTGACTGCTGCTTCCTTCTTTGGTATCTCAATTCGCCTGATTTCCGTGTACAGCGCCTGAAGACGAACAACAAATCCACCAAGTGATAGCTCAATCAGCAGTTTGTACTTCTCTACTGCTGGAACATCAATGTAGTCCCTGTAGAGCGCATTCTTCTCATCCTCAATCTTCTTCACAATATTTGATCCGTTGATCACGGCCAACCTGAGGCGATGGAGCATCTCTTTGTACATTTTGTCTCTTTCCTGATCATCAACCAATTTTGTACCATCTTTTCGTCTCTGATCCAGGTCACTCTGCTTCTTCATAATCAGATCTCGAAGTATTCCACTCTCATCCTTCTTGATCAGGTCACTTCGGAACTTCTGCAGCTTTCCAATGGCACCAGGCACATTTGGATCAAACAACCTGAATTCATCGATGTTTTTGGAGTCTTCCAAAATGAGTTTCTTTGCTTCTAGAACATTTTTGGTAATTTTAGCAAGTTCGCCTTCACTGGCATGATATGTGCCAATGTAGAAGACGATTGCATCCACTGGGATGAATGACTCGTAGAGCAGCTCACGTGACGTGTTGAATGCACTCTTGATCGGTGGAATTGGATAGTAGTGGGCTTCTGACTTCTGAGACTCCTCAAGCTGGACAGTAAAGAGCTTAGAGAACAAGTTCATTTGTTATGAAGCAGATTGACTTAAAACAACGAGGTAAAACAGTGTAAACAACGGCAGTTAGTACTTCTTCATCTGCTTCTTGATTCGAGCGAACTTCTGTGACTTGAATTCTTTTTTGCCCCTTGGTTTCTTGATGAATCCACCTTGTTTTGATGCCTTGTCCTCTTTCTCCTTCTTTTTGATAGTCTCCTCTCTCGGAACAAGTCTCTCCTTGGGCATGAACTTCTCTTTATGACCATCAAATTGTACGCCTTTCTGTAGATAGGATGCGTCAGTGAGTTCTATGCTGGCATATGAGTCATCCAAAATACCAAAAATTTCGTCAATTTTTCCAACTGGCTTCTTGTTCACCAGAACGGGTGAGCTGGGATATGGAATGCTTTTACAAGTCAATTTAACAACAGCAAGGCTGCCACACGAGTGCGAGAATTCACCAAGGCGGATTGTCTCACCAGAAAGTGGTGGCCTACGTTGCTTGTTTCTGTTGAATGCCATGGGTGAAATAAGCTTATTTTGCATAAATACAGTTAAGATTATGCATTATGCCTAACAAGTACAACAAACTAATTGAGAAGAACAAGAAGATACACGATTCGCTACTGCAAGAGATAAATAGCACGTCGAAGAAGGCGAAGAGGAAGATGACGAAGAATGTCGAGTCGGTGACAGACAGGCTCCAGGCGAGAATTGACAAAATTGTCAAGGATTTTGACAAGAAAATAGTACGGAAGAAGCAGGAGATGGCCAAACTGACTAAAAAGGTGGATGAAATCAACAAAATGAGCAAGAACCTGAAAACTGAGGATTTTCTGACTGAAGCCAAGGAATTGAAGAATCAGATACTGAAACTGATAAAGGACAAAATCAGCTATTTGGGTGAATTCAAGGAGAATCAGAGCATAATTTATGACAAGGAGTTCGAGAAGCTGACTAAGAGAACCAATAAGACGATGGATGGCGCCAAGAAGGAGATAAATGAGAGCTTCACTGGGGCCAATAAGCCAGGTGACTAATCATTGTTGTTAGTTTCGTCAGCCTCACCCAGTTCGAACTCCATTCCGTACATTCCGCTCTTTAGATTTGGCACGCGTATCAAGTTCTCGGCGTCTGGCATCGATAGCGGATTCTTGTTGATGCTCTCCGCAGTGGCCTGAAGCAGATTCCTGGACGGAGCAGGCAGAAACTGCTGACTTGATTTTGTTTGTATGGCCAACTTTATGTCTTTCTGCGTAATGGTCTCACTTTCACAGTGTCTTGCATATCCCTGTGCATCAAGCATAACTCCAGTAGAATATTTATATGCGAATTCAAGCAGCTGCACAATCACACGTGGCTCACACTCCTCAATTCCAAGTGATCTCAGAATGGCTGAAATTATCTTGGCATCCCTTGGCAGCAGACTCTCGTCTCCCTGGTTTCCACTCATTTTTGGGGCTAAACACTTTCCTGTTTTTGCTTCCAAAACACGTAAAAACAGCACTGTTTGTTGTGCTATGGTGTTGCATATCATTTTCATGAACCGGAAAAGTGTCCACACTCCTGTTGTTGGTCTGAATAGCATCCAATTCAGCAAATTATTCATATTTGAGGATGATTTGAAGAAATGTAACCTAGAAATTCAGAAAATTATTAGAGATCTGAGCAATAAATTAAGCAAATTGGATCCAAATGGAACAAAAAGGGAGATAGGCACGACTAATTCCTTTAAATGTGCGAATATTGAGGATAAAATAGAAGAAACAATATCAAAAATGAAGGAAATGATTGAAAATATCAGGGAAACCATATCAGAAAAGACGAAAAAATACGAAAATAACAAGAATATTTTTATTAAGGCTGAATACAACTACATTGATGTATTCTATGCAAATGTAAACCATAAGGAAATCCAAGAATTCTATCGAACAGCAAATAGCCTGAAAATCAGGGAGTGTATTGAGGCTGTAGATGGAAATGCCCTAACTGATAATAAGAATAGGCTATTTAAAATATACACGATCAAGAAAGAGACTGCTGGAATACACGATAAACTCAGAGAGAAGTTCAGGACGATTGAGAACATCACAGTTGAGAACATCACAGTTGAGAATGCGGAAGAGAAGGAGTTGTATGGGAACTATTTGACTGAGACCATTGGAGTAGCCTATGAATTGTACAAGGAGATCACATTCAAGTGGGGCCTGGTGGATGCCCTACAAAGATACGGCTGTCCATTGGAGTACAGTTTCACAGTTACAAAAAACAAGGGAGAATTCTTAAGAGCGAATAAGTTGGACAAGGAGGAAACCTGTGTAGTGGAACTGAAGGAATTGGGTGAAATGATCCAATAAAGAAGCATAAACTAACCAAATAAGCTTACAATGTTTATGCAAACAAACAAAATGGATTGAAACTACCATTTTAACCCCAATGCAGAATACGAAGGAGCTTGATCTCAGTTCCATTATAGACCTGACTGAATTGTACGCGAAGGAGTGTGGCGCATCCAAATACGCGAATGTGTATCAGAACAAGACGAAGATCCGCGACTATCGCATCGTATGCAACTTGGCAAAGGGTGGATTTGGAGAGGTCTTTGTGGCTGAAAAGGATGGACGAATCTACGCCGTGAAACGAGTGAGCAAGGACATGTGCAAGAAGAATCAGAACAGCACGTTCTTCATGGTCGAGAAGGAAATCATGACACAAAGCACGTCTCCTTGGATCGTATGTGCCCACGAATGCATCCAGGATGAAACCTACCTGTATTTTGTAATGGATTTCATCCCAGGTGGTGATCTGCTTGGCTACCTGAGCAAAATGGACGTGATTGAAGAGGAGCAAATCGCATTCTACGCAGCTGAAATTCTCCTGGCTCTCGAAGACCTCCACGCCCTCGGATACGTCCACAGGGACCTGAAACCCGACAACGTCTTCATCGGCAGAGACGGTCACATTCTGCTTGGTGATTTTGGATCAGCCGCAAGGCTGATCGATGGATTTGCTCAGTCACGAATTCCAGTTGGTACGCCTGACTACATGTGCAGGGACGTCCTGATTGAAAACACGGCTGAAGGTGCCTCTTACACCGCATCCATCGACCTGTGGACACTTGGCATTTTGATCTACGAAATGGCCACTGGTGAACCACCTTTCTACTCCCAAACGGTCTCAGAAACGTACAACCGAATCACAGCCCTTGATTTCAAGCCAATTTCTGGAGCAGAGACACTCGTTGATCTGATCAGCAAACTGATTTGCAAGGCAGAAGACCGTCTTACGGCAGAACAGATCAAATCCCATCCATTCTTCAAGGACACCGACTTCAGTCGAATCAGAAGCACCAAGCCGCCTTTCATTCCAACGGTCTCCTCTGATTCCGACGTCTCCAACTTCATCGTCGACGGATTCAAATTGGAGGAGTCCTCGATCAAAGGCGGATTCCGTGATTTCGTTGGCTTCACCTACGATCCAAAATACGCCCGCATTTTCGGAGAGTCCCTGATTTCGAAATTGGGGAAGCAGGTCGTCTACAGGGAGAAATTCAGTGCAAGCATCTCAGAGCGACTGAACTGTCTCACAGTCGACATGAAGAATCTCGAAGGAATAAAGGACGAGATTGCTGAGAACGAGAAGAAGCTGATTGAGAAGGAGAAGGAGTTCGACCGATTTGTTGATACGAAAATGATGGAAATTGATGACCTGAATATCACGATTGACGACCTGACGAATGAGAAGGAGAAGAAACAAGGTGATTTGAGTCGAAGTCAGGCTGAGTTGGATAAAATTGAGAACGAGCTGCTTCACAGACGCGATGATTCCAGGGTGATTCTTGACGAACTGTCAAAAAAGAGAGTCGTGCTGGATTCGATCCAACGGAGTCTGAAGCAGAAGTCAGCTCAGATGGAAATGAAAGACTACAGCACAACCAGAACGGCCTTGGACGATCTCAGATCCACCCTGTCTCAGATCGACGTTGCTGGGAACATCGCCGCTGCCTCTGAATTCATCAGACGCCTTCTCTCAGAAAACAGTCTCCTCATTTCCCAGCAAAGGAGGCACCAGGAGGAAACAGCCTCGGAAACCACCAAATCCATGGAACAGGAGCAGCAAATGAAGAAGCAGCTCAGGGGGCTGAAGACGGAAATGAAGGAGCATCAGGCGCGAATTGACCAGGAGGTGACAATGCGCCTACACGCTGAAGAAGAAAACAGACGCCTCTGCTCCGACCTGAAGGCGCTAAGGGCGAAGTCGCAGACGAAGACGACCTACGCATTGAAGAATGCGATGACAAACAAAACACTTCGCCTGACTGTCCACGGCAGCACCGTCACAGTCGATGCCACTCCCCACGATTCCAACCAAATCTACGTCAGAGAAATCAGAAATGGCGAATTCCACCACTTCCCCTACAAAAAGAGGGCCCTCTGCCTCGTGATCCACTGCCTGAGAGACTACTCGGCCCACACCGCCTCCTCTTCCCCGTCTCGCTCTCCTGATTCTGTTTCAACTGACATCAAAAAAGAGGAGCAGATTCTCGATGGTCTCAGGGAACTGGATCTGCTCATCCGCGGTGACGCAAACATCAAGGCGCAAATCAGCGGAAGCACCAGACGCCTTGAATCTCTCCAGAACGAGCTGCGAGCAGCTCGTTCTGCCTCGTCCTCGTCTCCCTCTTCGAATGGCCACCTCATCAAATTCAACAACCACCGTTTCAGGGAGCACACGGTTGGAAAGGGCTCTCTCTGCGACCACTGCAATGACGTCATGTACGGCCTAGTGAACCAGGCGCACCACTGCTCTGACTGCCACTTCACAGTCCACAAGGCGTGTCACCTGCTTGGAGACGTGAGCTGTGAGTTGCAGCAGGCGATCAACAAGGGCGTCTCACTGACAGTGGTAGCACGGAATATCGAAGAAAAGGAACAGCTACTGAAAATGGGGTTGTAGGGGTAGAATAAGTAGAGTAATAGAATAGGCAGAATAGTATAGTAGGGTGGTAGTAGAGTAATAGAATAGAATAGGTAGAATAGTATAATAGGCAGAATTATTACAGTAGGCAAAATAGCTACTACAATTACTACTGTACTATTTATACTACAATTACTACTGTACTATTTATAGTACTATTTACACTACCACTACAATTACACCATAATTCATGCATGGAATTCCAGAGAGAAAGTTGGATCTGAATCTGAGGCAGGGGGCAGAGAGAGGGGCAGCGAGGGAGACCGTGCTACGTCCCGTAGTCCGCACCATCACGGGCCAGAGCGACCTCACCCTCCTTCGTCTCCTGGGGCAGTTTGTGCTGGCATCGTCAGACGACGGGTCCCTGCTCGTCCTCGACGGCGGCCTCCGCGTCATCGGCACCGTGGCCCACGGCGCAGGCGTCTGGGCCTTCGACGCCGTCTACGCCGGCGCGAAGCTGACGGTGGTCTCAGGCGGAATCGACCGCCAAATCAAATTCACCGAATTCGCCGTCAAAGGCGGCTCAATCGCGGCCACGCGGCTGAGCACGCAGTGCCAGCACCGATCAACGATCAGGGCGCTTTGCTGCGGCAGCGAAGTCGCTGCCGCTGGCTCCCGCGATGCGACCATTTCCCTCTTNCTGGCATCGTCAGACGACGGGTCCCTGCTCGTCCTCGACGGCGGCCTCCGCGTCATCGGCACCGTGGCCCACGGCGCAGGCGTCTGGGCCTTCGACGCCGTCTACGCCGGCGCGAAGCTGACGGTGGTCTCAGGCGGAATCGACCGCCAAATCAAATTCACCGAATTCGCCGTCAAAGGCGGCTCAATCGCGGCCACGCGGCTGAGCACGCAGTGCCAGCACCGATCAACGATCAGGGCGCTTTGCTGCGGCAGCGAAGTCGCTGCCGCTGGCTCCCGCGATGCGACCATTTCCCTCTTCGATTTGAGCGGCTTCCTTCTCCACCGCAACCTCCTTCTCAGCGGCTCCTACGACGGATCAGTCCGCGTCTGGGACACCGTCCGTCTACGCCCTCCTTCTCCTTCCACTTCCCAGTGGCAATGCCATTTTGGTCTCAGCCGGCCTGGGACAACTCATCGTCGTCACCACCGTCACCCTCAGGCAGCGAATCCACCACAAATCGGTCAGGAGACTCCTCGATGTCGCAGCAACGAGGAGTGCGACCGTCAGCTGCCCAGGACGTGCTCCGTCTCTGATTCCGTGGCTCTACCACTGTCGTGGTCTCGTTCTGGCTCTCTCTGTTTCAGGTGACCTGGTCGAATACGATCCAACAGGCAGAAAGCCAACTAGGACGATTTCACNCGTCTACGCCCTCCTTCTCCTTCCACTTCCCAGTGGCAATGCCATTTTGGTCTCAGCCGGCCTGGGACAACTCATCGTCGTCACCACCGTCACCCTCAGGCAGCGAATCCACCACAAATCGGTCAGGAGACTCCTCGATGTCGCAGCAACGAGGAGTGCGACCGTCAGCTGCCCAGGACGTGCTCCGTCTCTGATTCCGTGGCTCTACCACTGTCGTGGTCTCGTTCTGGCTCTCTCTGTTTCAGGTGACCTGGTCGAATACGATCCAACAGGCAGAAAGCCAACTAGGACGATTTCACTGAATAAGCAGGTGAAGTGTGCGACTGTGGTTGATGGGACACTCCTTGTTGGCACCACTGATGGAATGCATCTCATTGGTGAAATGGATCAAAATAGGCTGATGCTCTCTGGTAGGGAAATAAAGCAGATTGATGGAGTAGGTGATAGGGTGGTAGTAGGATACTACGACGAAATGAGGAATGTGGTAGTGGAGGTGTATGAGGTAGGTTAGGTTGGTGACAAGGAAGATACTATAGTTGTTATTAATACTTGATTAGATTTATTACTATTTTCAACAATATTATCTGATGATTAGGTGAGAATGTAACTAGTGATATCTACAATAAGACTGTCTGATACAGACCTATTTACTACATTCACTATAAATCTCTTTCTGAATCAGAATAGTCCTATTTCACATATGCTACATACGTCATTCTCATTGCTCTCTCCTATCACATTATGAGCACCACAAAACAGACACACCTTAATCTGATCACTATCATTGATCAATATCAGTCTTCCATTATCAGAGGCATATTCGTGTAATTCAACTCCACTGATTTCATTACTGCTGTGGTCTCTCACTACTCTTTTGACTGTGCTTGTCTCTCTTATTCTGCCCCTGTCTTCCTCATTCAACTTCTCGTAGACCTCATTTGCCTGTTTTCTATTTCCATTTTTGTAGAGGACACCAATCAGCAATTTGGCAGCCAGGGCTGAATGAGATGGCTCATTTTGTAGCAGATGATGGAAGTAGAACAGGAG